TCTTGTCGTTACTTGTTGCCCTTTTTCCCTTATCGTGAATTGTAGCACTTGTAGTCATTCATGCAGTCTTTACATGTTATATATATCATTTCCATTATTCCTATGATTATACTGTTTATTTGACCGGTAGGTGCCTTGAATGTTCCTCGTCACTACTGCACCGAGGTTAGTCTTGATACTTATTGGGCACCGCCGTGGTGTGCTCATGCTACTCTTCTGCACATTTTTGTTGTGCAGATACAGGTACTCCCACTCAGTTCTGTCAGCCTTGGAAGGAGGCGTATCGGTAGAGACTTCGAGGTATATCTGCTACGTCCGCGGACCGAGGAGTCCCTTTCCAGCTTTCTGTAATAAGTATATCTCTTTCAGTATTTCTCCCTTATATAGATATTCTTGAGTCAGAGCCTCTTATGTATCCCTTAGCTTGTGATTTGTGAGTTTCCGGGTTTTGGGAATGTTGTTAGCTTCGAGAATTGTTGTGGTATGTGCCGAGCGGCACCTTAAACACCATTTTATTTTTCTAGTTCAGTTTTATTTACTTTCTTCTGCAATTATGGTTTATCTTCCGCATTGTTAGGCTTACCTAGTCGTAAGGACTAGGTGTCGTCACGACATGTTCACGGAGGGCGGACTGGGGTCGTGACAAGTTGGTATCAGAGCTCTAGGTTCATAGGAGTCACAGATCACAAGCCGGTTTATTAGAGTCTCGTGGATCGGTACGGAGACGTCTGTACTTATCTGCGAGAGGCTATGTAACCGTTAGGAAAATTCCACTTCATTTGATTTCCCTGTCGTGCGAGATTTTTGACATCCACAATCCTAAACCTCTGTCTTCTACTCTCTCACAGATGGTGAGGACACGTACTACCCGAGGTGATCAGGCACCCGCGCCCCCTGCTGCAGCCGTCGGAGGTCGGGGCCGGGGTAGAGTTCGAGGACGCGCACGTGGTGCAGCGAGAGCACCTGCGCGAGCTGCCGCCGAGGTACCACCAGCAGATCCAGCCGGAGTCCAGGCACCTGACACGCCTACTGCCACTACTACTCCAGCCCTTCAGGAGACTTTGGCACAGTTCATGAGTATGTACACCACTTTGGCTCAGGCAGGATTGCTTCCCCTTGCTGCAGCCACATCCCAGGCCGGGGGAGGAGCACAGACTCCCGCCGCCCGCACTCCTGAGCAGCGAGCACATGTTGAGCAGGTCCCAGAGATTATTCCTGCACTTCCTGCGACACCAGTTCAGTCCGAGGGCATGGCAGCGGCTTCCGAGCAGGAGCAGATGAGACTAGAGAGGTTCAAGAAGTATGATCCTCCGGTGTTCAGTGGATTAGCGTCGGACGATGCCTTAGGGTTTCTTGATGAGTGTTACCGTATTCTCCATACTATGGGTATCTCTGGATCGAGCGGGGTTTCTTTCACTACTTTTCAGCTTCGAGGAGCCGCCTATGATTGGTGGTGCACCTATGAGTTAGACAGCCCAGACGAGGCAGCTTCACTGACTTGGACCCAGTTTTCAGATATGTTTCTGAGAGAGTTTGTTCCTCAGAGCCTCAGGGATGCATGGCATGCGGAGTTTGAGCATTTGCGTCAGGGTGCTATGACCGTCTCGGAGTATGCTGTCCGTTACACCAGTTTGGCTAGACATGCCTCAGCCTTGGTTTCTACTGTTCGCGAGAAGGTTCGCCGGTTCATTGAGGGGCTTATTCCTAGCATCAGGTCCAGCATGGCCCGTGAGTTGGAGATGGATATTCCGTATTAGCAGGTGGTGAACATTGCTAGGAGGATAGAGGGTATGCATGCTAGAGAGAGAGAGGGTAGGCAGGGTCATGAGAGAGAGAGCAGACGAGATCAGGAGAGAGAGTTTGAGGAGGCGAGGAGTCCTCATAGACCGAGGAGATATACTGGTCCTTATTTTGGAGGCAGGGTGCGTCATGGTAGAGGTTTGCGGGTCAGCCAGTTCAGTTCGCGTTTCAGGCTTTGCATGGTGACTCAGGTGTTCATGGGTCTCGGAGTACCCGTATCGCACAGTTCCCACCGCCTCATCAGCAGAGAGGGTGCTTTGAGTGTGGAGATTCTAGCCACATGGTGAGAGATTGTCCCAGACTTCGGACCGATGTGTCACAGTGAGGTATTCAGGCCTGTAGAGAGCGCCCAAGAGGGGGAGGCCCGGCTCGTTGATGGGTTTCATATAGTAGGTTTGAGGCCGGTGTGCCAGCTAATGTCACTCAGGTACGAATTCAGTTTGTTATAGAGGGGCACTATCTGTAGTTCATCATAGTTCTGCTTATTGGAGCGAGTCTCCTTGTTTGTTGTTCCATTTATGGGAGCGTTTCATGATTTGTACTCTGTTACGTGATTATTCTGTTGGAAGGTTCTATGAGTGATAGCCGTGTCTATCGTCCGTTTCTAGCTGTTGTCGAGAGTAATGAGGCTAGCAGTAAATCCATGTTGTCTGTTCCGGTAGGTTTGATATGGTCTCTAAGTATTCTTGGTTACGAACTGTGATTTCTATGCTCCACTGGTGTGGGAGCCAGCCTGTGTTATAATTTGTGGACGGAATTGATCTAGTGAGAGTCTCTAGATGGGTTGATGTGTGCCCTACTTGTGATTCAGTGTTGAGGGCGGGACCCTCGTGATTTCAGGTTTTTTGATATGTTGAGACCGGGCTGTGTACTGCGGTGAGAGTTATACCAGTATAAGATCCTTGTGAGTCTTTTATATGCTTTCATTCTTTATTGTTAGATGTTTTTGTCGATTTGTGTTTTAGAAGAATTTGTGCTAGTTTGATTTGCTTGTTAGTTCCCTTATGTGTTTCCTTTCTCATATTCAGCCATTTCCGTTCTATGCTTCTTGAGTTTTAGCTTGTGGGGTGTATACCCGTTGGTGTTGGCTGAGATTTGATTATTCGGGTGTTTTGTTATGCGGTTTTCGTGGTTATTGTATCATCGCCAGTGTTGTGGAGGTTTGAAAAGAGATCCTGTTGAATATGAGGCTTATGGCCGGTACGGATTGGATCTCAGGCAAGTATTGCTATCAGAAATGTTATTGTGGGCCTATGTGTGATGTGGCATGTTGTGTGGTTGTACCCTGTGTGTGTTGGCTGGTATTGAAGTAGCTGGTTGAGACTGATACCGGATATAAATGTAGGATCGGGTCTTTTGGAAATGGATGGAAGGTAAGAATTCTGGCTTGTAAGCTTAGTGGTGTTGCTAGGAAGGCTAAATTTCAGTTGAGATGGTGTCGTCAAGCTTAAGTGGATTGGGGTGACGTGGGATCACCCGCAGGTGTATGTAGGAAGTGCGCACTCAGTGACTTGAAGACTTCAGGTGTGTTCTCTATGCTCGTTTGAGGACGAACGAATGTTTAAGTGTGGGAGGATATAACAACCCGACCGGTCATTTTTAGAATTCACGCCCCGATCCCCTATTAACTGCTTCCTCTAAGTTCGTTTCTGCTATTTTGGTTTGCTGGGACGTTCAGTGTTGAGTTTCGTAGAGTTTTGGGGCACTTAGTCCCTAAATTAGAGCTTAAGTGTTGAAAAGTAGTCCGTAGTCAGAACTGTGTGAAGACGGCCTCGGAATGGAAATCCGACGATTCTGTTAGCTCTGTTAGGTGATTTCGGGGTTGGGTGCGTGTTCGGAATGTATTTTGGAGGTTCCTAGCTAATTTATGCTTGAAATGCCGAAGTTTGAATTTTTGAAGTTCCGGTCCGATAGTGAGTTTTTGATCCGAGGGCCGGAATGGAATTCCGGAAGTTGCAGTAGCTCCGTCATGCCATTTGGGACGTGTGTGCAAAATTTCAGGTCATTCGGATGTGTTTTGATTAGGTTTTTGATCGAAAGCGTGTTTTGATGAAATTTGAAGTTCTTAGGCTCAAATCCTTGTTTAATTCGAGTTTCCGGCGTCGTTTTAGGTGGTTTAAGGATTGGTACAAGTTTGAATGGTGTTATAGGATATGTTCGTAGGTATGGTTGAGGTCCCGGGGGCCTCGGGTGTGTTTCGGATGGGCTACGGGTCATTTCCCCTTGCTTTTGAACTGCTGTTGCTGCTTCTGGTACTCCTTCTTCGCGCCATCCCGCATTCGCATAGTTATAATGTCTCACCCTTCGCGTTCGCGTACAGATTCACGCGTTCGCGAAGGGCATTCCTTGGGCCTTCAAATTCTTCTTCTTCGCGTTCGCGGACGCATTGTCGCGTTCGCGATGAGTAACTGAACACCTTCACTTTTCCTTCTTCGCGAACGCGATGCTTCTTCCGCGTTCGCGATGACCAATTTTCTGGGCAGACAGATTAAATTCCAATTTCGAGGGTTTCACCATTGTTATCACATTTTTGACTTCTAGAGCTCGGTTCTTGACGATTTTTAAGGGATTTTCACCTGGGCGACATGAGTAAGTGCTTCTCACTCGATTTAGACCAATTTCCATGAATCTCCTCTTAATTTTCTCCTTTAATTTCAGATTTTTAATGAAAAATGGGTAGAATTTCATAGACCGAATTATTGAGTTTTGAGGGGGTGTTTGACCTCCGATTTGGGAGATTTTTATATGGTTAGACTCGTGAGAGGACGAGGGTTCTGAAAATGTAAAAATTATCCGATTCTGAGGCGTTGGCCTGAGGGGAGTTTTGGTCATTTTGCCTAATTTCACGCTTTAGCTTTGAATTAAATAGTATAATCAGTTGCTTGAGATGTTATTTATAATGTGTGATTTAATTGAATAGATTTGGGCCATTTGGAGTCGAGTACTCGTGGAAAGAACGTGGTTGCTAGTTGATTTTAGCCGGTTCGAGGTAAGTATCTTGCCTAACCTTGTGTGGGGGACTTCCCCTTAGGATTTGAGTCTTCCTTGTTGATTGTATTCCTTGTACGCGAGGTGACGAGTTCGTGCTCGGATTTATTTGTGGAAAATTGCCCCTTTTAGGCTCTTTGATCCTTGTAATCACCGAATATGAAGTTGTTCTTGATATGATTGAGTTTCCTGTTATTAGTTTCACCTCTACATCACTTANAAACAGCATTATAACCATCTATTCCTGGGGCTTTATCATCTCCAATTGCTTTAAGACTCTCCACAATTTCAAGGTCAGTTACTTCTGCACAGAGATCCAGTCTTTGCTGCTGAGATAGTAAGGGGCCATTAGCCATGTACTCTCTATTTATAGCAGGAAGGGATGTTGCTGTTGAACCCATAAGTGACTTGTAAAAATTCAGAATTTCCTTTTTTATATCTGCAGGATCATTTAGTTTTTCACCCAGGCCATTTGTAATTTCTGTGATCTGTTTTCTTTGTGTTCTTTCCTTCAGGACTGCAGTGAAGTACTTGGTATTAGAGTCTCCAAGTTGAATCCATTTAGCTCTTGCCTTCTGCTGTGCCACACTTTCTTCAATTAGAGACCACCTTTCCAGCTTTAGGATTATCTCTTTTTCTTCCTGTAACAATGCATCAGAATATGAACTTGCCAGTTGTTCTTGAACTTCCTTCAACTCCTGTCTGGTATGTTCTATCCTCTGAGTAATGCTCTTGAACTCCTTAGCATTCAAAGCCTTTAAAGGGCCTTTCAATGCTTTGAGGTTGGACCAAATTGCTTTCATATTTCCAGGCTTATTTGGTAAGTTCTAGCTATCCGCCACAGTTTGTTGAAACTTATCATGATCAGCCCATGCATTAAAGAATCTAAAAGGCACTTTTCCCTTCCAAGAGTAATCTGCTAGAATCAGAATCATAGGATTGTGGTCAGAGATTTGAGGTTGACCATAAATTGTTTCCACATGACTCCAATTCATCATCCACTCATAGTTGCCAAATACTCTATCCAATCTGCTACATACTCTATCTGCTCCAGGATATTTGTTTGTCCAGGTGTAATAATCTCCTTTCCAAGGTAGTTCTGATAGTCCTGTTTGCTGAATACAATAGCTGAACTCTTGGATCTCTGAGTGGTTAACAGGATTGCATGATTTTCTGTCATTGGGATATAACATAGCATTGAAATCCCCTGCTACTAACCATGCATCTGTAATAGTTATTGCAGAATGCTGAAGCTTTTCCCATAAAGACCTCCTTTGCTCTATCCCATTGAATCCATAAACCACAGTGAGATAGCAATTGATATTTCCCCTTATACTTCTGACTAGGCAATGTATCATTTGAGGATCATCCTGGAGTCCAATAATATTAAGTATATTAGTATCCCATAGTATCCATATTCTCCCATTTCTAGCTTCATTGTAGTTTGTTAGTAAGCCCCATCCAGGAACCAGCAGCTTAGCAATTCTATGAGCATTTGCCTCTTTGACCTTAGTTTCTACCAGGCCAACTAGGTTTATTTTATTACTCCTAATGTACTCCCTAACTTCCTTCTGTTTGTACCTTTTATTTACACCTCTAATATTCCAGAACAACCACTTCATTGTTGATTGCTTGGTCCACCTTTGGCACTTCATACTTGCCATTGGACACTGCTTCAAACCTATTACTTACAGGGATAGGTGATAAGGGAGGGAAATTAAGGAGATTGAATTCTTGGCTTTGAGCTTTTTTCCCTTTATCTTCCTGTTTCTCCATGGCTGGTATCAGACTTAGTAGCTCATTGGGCTCTGTGGCTATCTGATCTTCATTCAACTTGTTTGTATGATCAAGTTGTGGTGCTGATGATGTGGGTTTTTTGTGAGTAGCAGCAATAGTGGCAGGTGCCTTGGTTCTCCATTCTTGAGTAACTTTTGTTTTCTTCAGTTGATTGGGTTGGTGAGTAGTTGGTTTCATTTGGGTTGGACACTTGTGGCCTACAGTTTGGCATTTCTCACAAAAGGAAGGCTTCCAATCATAGATCACATCTTGTAAGAACTTCTTCCCATTTGGTTCCATCACCCATATTTCACTTGGCAACTCTTTGGTGACATTAATCTCTATAAGCATCCGAGCATAGGATACTCGAGTTTGTTTAGTTGTACATTCATCTGCAAAAATAGGCTTCCCTAATACACTTGCTATCCTACTTAAAGATCTCATTCCCCAGCAGGACATAGGAAGTTTAGGAAACTTAACCCACAGTGGGATATCAGTAGGGAATTCCTCAGTGAAATCAAAGTCAGGGGTCCAGGGTTTGAGAATTATAGGCCTATTAGCTATAGAATAAGGCCCAGCATAAAGGATTTCCTTAGCATCTTCCATCGTTTTGAATCTGATTATGTAGCCTTCATCATGATAAATAGATCTGGTTCTGGAACATGTGACCAGTGAAGGTTAATATATCTTTTCATCGCGTTAAATCCTGGACAATCTCCTAAAATGTATGCAATTAGCGCAAATTTCCACTTCTTATCTTCCTCCTCTACCTCTAATTTGTTCAATTGCACTATTGGTTGTCCATCTACAATTAGAGGTGGTATGTAATCTAGTGACATACCATTTGTTGCAAATCTGTTACCCTGAAAGAGATTTGACCATGCTTGCTTAGGCTCCTCAAGTTTTCTGTTGATGATCACAGGTTCCACCGGTGCATCTGTTGGCTGAGCTTGGTTGTGCACTGGATTTTGCATGGTAACTGTTCCATTGATAGCTTCATTCACCAGATCTGATACTTTTTCAATTGAAGCTGGGGAGACTAGATCCAGCTTCTTTAAGACGGAGGATTGGTGCGATGCAGATCCAATGGAGCATATAGCACCTGCAATTGATGAAGATGAGCTCAGCACTGTTGTTGGAGGAGTGTTTACTGGGGTTAATTCTCCATAACTGGTTGCTTGACTGTAGTGATAAGGTTCTCGATAGCTGCTAGTGGGTTTTTCCGTGGGCGTCCTCTACCTCTTCCTCTCCCTCTCGCCATGGCTACAAGCTCGGCGTACATTTAACTAACGTGCGCCGAGAGCATTTTGAGGAGGGGGGTTGTGAACTTCGTTTAATACCGAGATTTTTTTTTTTGGGGGTGATTACCGAGATTTTTTTTAACTGGGTAAATTTTCTCTCCTATTTTCTCCCTTCTGCTTTTTCCTCAATTTTTATATATATATTTTTTAGAAACTGGTCAACATGCACAAGCCGAATCAAACATAATGCACAAGTAGCACATAAGATGCAACAGGATGGTCTTGCAATTCTCAGGTACACCTGTCCTAGACGGACCCAACCCCTGTGTTGAGTCCCTAAAGTCAATGCACATGATGCAAACAAACGTTCCTACTAGGGATCCGGCATGAGGCTATGTGATTCTAGGTTTAAATCCTGGGGGGAGTGTTTTAGACCTGGCTTACCTAAGCGGACAGCTTGAGCCGAGGTGGGGCTCATACCGGGAGCACGAAAGTCTACCCGGCCTAGTTACTTGACCCAGCCTCGTTCTAATTGGTATGACTTCTAACAGAAAAGTGGGCCACGCGCACGTGTGCACCATAAATTCAGAAGACTCAGAAGGGAGGCGTAGGAAGACAGTTTAATATAATTCAAATAATATCAAAGCGGTAAATAAGCGGCAATTAGCACATTAGGCCCAAAAACACAGCAATAACATCAAATTAATAAAGCCAAGTATAGATCACATTACAAGCTCGAATTCTAAACCCAGAATAGAAGTTCTGGGTTATCTCCCCAGCAGAGTCGCCAGAGCTGTCACACCTCCTTTTTTACCGGGAAAGGAAAGAAAAGGAGTTTTTCCAATTTAAGTGACATTATTTGAAAAGGGATTAATTTATTTTAATTTAAAGAGTCGCCACTTGGAATTGAGTTTTGGTGTCCCAAGTCACCATTTATTTTAAAATCCCAATTCAAGGAAATTGACTCTGATTAAGTCTGCGAAACACAGAAGACCGGGTAAGGAATTCTGTTAACCCAGGAGAAGGTGTTAGGCACTCCCGAGTTCCATGGTTTTAGCACGGTCGCTTAAAACACTACAACATAATGCATATATAGCTACAAAACACAAAGTAGCTAATTATAAAAAATTTCGTAGCTAAACACTTTAGCCACAATAATCTTTTCCGTAGCATTCGTAGCAAAATGTAGCGTAGCTAAAAGTTAGCTACAAACTTTACATAACCCGTGGCTAAGGATTAATACTTATTGCTACGAAAATTTTGTGTTGTAGCTATATTCATAGCAAATAGTTTTATACTTTTGCCACGACAAATATATTTATAGCAAATGATTTTATACTATTGCCACAACAAATTAATTTGTAGCTATTATGGTAGCTACAAAGTGATATAGCGTAGCAAAAGTTTTAAATTTATTTGCCACGAAAGTTTTGATATGTAACTGCAAAAGAATTTTTGTTTAGCCACGGACAAAAAGTTTCATGGCTATAAATCATACAAAAAAGTCGAGATTAAATTGCTTTATTATTAATTTTTTTTTACAGAATATTGATTTTAGTAGCAATGAAAGTTCCTATCACCCAGTTTATTCGCTATTTTATTTTTGTCTAAAATTTTTCAATTATTCTATGAATGTACATGTTATATTAAAACTAATAGTAATAATATATTATCTTGAGACATGACTTATTCTACACAAATTAACATATAAAAATTTTCACTAAATAAATTCCAAGATACACATTATATTAATCAATTAATATCATCTGCAGTACATAACTCTTTTATAGTAACTAAAATTTGACGAAAAGAACTAGCCGATGTGAGGCTTTATGGTAATATAGATCTGAAATAATGTACGACATTCCATATAAACGAATATAAGCATTTGCTTGATGATTCATGTTGCCACCCCCGTTGATCTTGATGCTTTATGTTACCACCCTCATCGCAGTTGTTGATCTTTATGCATCCAAGAATATATGAAGCACTCTTCAAATCACTAGACTGAAATATAAAATAAAATAATCTTGTGAAAAATTTATATTTGAATTATCAGAACATATACCAGTTAGATGCATTTACAATTAATAAATAAAAATTCAATTAATCATGGAATAAGAAAAATTTAGCCATGTATCATGTTAAAAAAAACTAAACTTTTTTCAACACAGAAAGAAAAAAAAAAAGCATTTAAATAAACATCATAAAACTTTAGAAGACGAGAAAAAAACTTACGGTTTGGCATTGATAATACAATTTTCCAAAGGGACTTTTCTCTTGAGCATCCTGTAAATCAAAAACAAATAATTGAAGTAGAAACACAAGTCAATTAGGTGTAAGGCACAAACTCTATCAAATCTTTAAAATTGCACTCAGCACTTATCAAAAAATAAGGCATAATATTTATCAAATTGCTGGAATAATTCGTAAAGTTTAACTAAAAATCCCAAAATCAAGTAGGCGTAAGAAGATTCAGAAATTCTATGATATAGAGATATGAGCTTACCGGGAAGAGACGAACCAAAAAATTAAAAATTTTGTCCATAAATGAAGATCGCAATGGGGATACACTCTTGTTGATCCTTTTTTGTCTTTCTCGCAGCCTTGAACTGCCGATTACTAAAGGTGAAAGAAAGAAATAACAATGTGGGGGAGGGAGAGTGACGGCTAGCGTGAGGATGATTAGGTTTTGGTTTAGGAATTTTAGTTTGTGTTTCTTTTTTTATATATTTTGTTTTATTTTACTTCTTAATACTACCATAAATACGGGGGGGGGGGGGTGTAAATACAAATACCATAAATGCAAATTGTAAAATATTTTTTTCTTTACTGCTTTTTTATCCTAGATGATATTGTTATTGTTTGTTTTGATATACGTTCATATTTAAATAATATTAACTTCTTCATTTTTAGTTCTAAATTAGATTTATGATAATTATTAAGTTATTAAAATACTATTAGATCATCAAATCAATAACTTTAATACTTATCTAAATTGAACATAACTAGTAAGAAATATAGATATATACAAGAACATAATTGATTAAATGTAATTTATTCATATATTTAAATTTAACTAATTATAATTATACTTTTTTAAAGTATATTTGAAACTTTCAAGTAATATTTTAGAATGAATATGATATTTATTATTTATCAAAAAATAAATTATGATATACCAGTTTGTTTTTTTATACACCCCCTATATTAAGTTCTTAACTTTTATACGAAATAAATTTAACAATGGTAAAAATATGTAACTATTTTTAAATACAAATTGTACTCAAAGATAAGAATAATAATAGTGAAAATACGATTATTCTTAAATACAAATAATACTCACAAGAGAGACAAGATCTCCTTCTCAATTCTTACATTCAATGTATAATTTAATTTATGATAATTAATAGTTGTTAAGATAGTAAATCCATATCATTATAACATATTTTACTGTCTATAGAAAAATATAATTTGTTATACAATGTAATTGGTATAATACTACTGTTTATTTCTATATATTAGTTATTCACACCGTAATAATATATAATTCAATATTTTTAATTAAAATTGGACGTACAATTAATACTGATTTTATAAGAAGATCAAAATAATTAGTTTTCATATGGACTTGGATATCTTAGGGTAACTAGATACAAGAAAATTACATACAAATTATTACAAATAATACTATTATCAATAGAATTCCTGTTTTTAAATTTGTCATCATATATCAGGGCAAAAATTAGCGATAAATTTAATTTTTTACTATCGCAAATCTTATTACTTTAATATGATTTTTCCTTTTTTTTATTTTATTAAGATTATCATTATTTTCTTGTGGTGTTAAATATGCTCCTTGTATATATTTGGAGCCTTTGGTCATTATCAAAACAAAATACACCAACCCTCTCCCAAAAAAGCTCTTCAATACATGAGCACTTATTTTAAAATGAATTCTTAAATATATGATTATGTGCTTTAAAAATAATTAAGGACCATACATAAATATTACAACAATTAAAGTTTTCAATATGAATATCTTTTTAGAAAATGTAAGTATACTTATTTAAAAATAATAAAGTATATACATAAATAAATATCTACAACTATTAATAATAATTTAAATTTACATAAAAAATTATATAATTAACAACAAGTGCAATCAAATAAAATATGAGTTTGATAAATCTAAGAAGTCAATTTGATGCTATAAGGAGGTAACAAATGATCTACTATTTGAGAATAAAGATAAATTTTGTATTTTAATCTTAGTTATTTGAAAGTTAAATAATTCCTTAATTTCATATATAATTATTATTTTCTTCCATAATCATATACGATTACTATTTTCCTATATTTAAGAAAAATGTAACTGTTACATTTGACATTAACTTTTCTTTACCTAATAGTGTTGGACAACTCTTGACATGATTTTTCGTAATTGAACAAAACTATTCATATTTTTATCTTGGCAACCATTTTCATTTATTCAAGCCAACTATTTTCATTTTCTTTATAATTGGAAGCAAAAATACTCATTAGATTTTTTTTGAATAATTTAATAAATATGCCAAAAGATTATTATTACTATAGCAAGTGTCAACTCGTGGCTTAGCTACCAAAATTTTATCATAGTAATAAATTTGTAGCTAAATTATTCAATAACGACAAATAATTATAGTTACTAAGCCAACTATTACTACACATTTTCAGGACTTGAAGCACAAATAGTTATTTAACTATAATATTTTTTTTTAAATAATATAGTAAAGGTTTCTTTTGCTACAGTAACTCTTAGTTTGTGGCAAAAACTAACAATTAGCTATAATATTTTGTGATAGTAATCAATTGTGACGATCCGACCCGTCGTCTCATGAGAATCGCTCCGTTTCCCCCATTTCTTGCTTCGTTATGCTTCATTATCAGTGTCTTGTGTGAACGAGTTGAATTGGGTTGATTTTTGGAAGGAAATGAGACACTTAGTCTCTTTAAGGAAGGCTTGTTTTAGAAAAGTCAACCGGATGTTGACTTCTGTGTTAGAGGGCTCAGATATGAATTCCGATGATTCAGTTAGCTTCGGGGATGATTTGTGACCTAGGAGTGTGATCGGAAGTGATTTTGGAGGTCCGGTGTAGAATTTGGCTTGAATTGGCGAAGTTAGTATTTTGGCGAATTTCTGTTGATAGGTGAGATTTTGATCCGAGGGTCAGAATGAAATTTCGAGAGTTGTTGTAGCTTCGTTAGGTGATTTGGGATGTGTGTGCAAAATTTCAGATTATTCGGGGGTGATTTGGTTGGGTTTTTGATCAAATGCGTGTTTCGGAAGTTTTAGAAGAACTTAGGCTTGAATCAGATGTAAATTTGGTGTTTTGATGTTAGTTTTGGTGTTTTGAGAGTGCAAATAAGTTTGAATGATCATATGTGATGTGTTAGTATGTTCGTATGCGGTCCCGAGGAGCTCGGGTGAGTTTCGGATAGGTTTGGGCTGCGTTGTGCTCGTTTTTCTTATGCTTCGACGTCGTTTCTTCAAGCATAAATGATATCATATTGAACAAATGAGCTCCGATTAGTGTTTTGAATGAAGCATTAGATCCGTATCGTAATTACGGACCCGTAGCAAAAAGAATCATCGAATTTGGACATCGTATGAGGATTTTATGGCCATTTTACCAAGGTTGCCCAGATTTTCAGGCTAATGACGAAATTGCCCCTGACGGCGTATTAAAAACCTGCACTATTTGCAAATCTTAAAACCTACATATCTCCTTCATTATAAGGTCAAATTGAGTGATTCAAAAGCCTAAATTCATTAGAATTTCACAAGGAATCTATTGGGAGCAGTAAAACGCGTGAACAGTATACCTATAATGAGCAGGTCGAGTTTTCTTCCAATTTTTGAACGGGAAGAAGCTTCTGAGGCGATTTTTAAGAGAGAAAATCAGTGGGTATCACAGAGGTAAGTGATTTGATTATTAAAACTCGTTTATGGGTGATTATAGACCATAATCCCAGCCTTTAATTCATGAAAAACAGTAGAAAAATAGGATTTTGGGGCCTGAGATTATGAGACCTTTAGGGGTCGATTTGAGGGGTCAAACGGACTCCGATTTTGGTGTTCTTTATATGTACGGAATCGGGAGAAGATGAAGAACACTTTTCTGTAAAAATTTTTGAGTTTTGAGAAGTGGGCCCGGGGCTCGGGTTTTGTCAATTTCGGGATTATTGATGTTTTTCGATTATTTTCGATTGGGTATTGATCCTATAGCATAATGTGACGTATTCGTTGTGGTTTTGGTCAGATTCGACGCGCGAGGAGGTCGATTTGAGAGGCAAGGGCATAGCGAGCTAGGATTTTCCCCGGCTTGAGGTTAGTAATAGATGTAAATGCTGTGTTGAGGGTTTGAAACCCCGTATTTGCACATCGTAGTGCTATATTGAGGTGACTTGCACGCCGGGTAGCGAGCGTGGGGTAGAGCACCGTTGGGAATTATGACCTGGTCCGTCCCGGTAGATGAATATACTGCGTATTTTCACTTATTATCATTTTAATTGAGCTGATTGCTATATTTGGGTTCGTACCAATTGATTGAATTCTTCAGGGATTGTTAATACTGGTTTCTTACCATTTTTACATATCATTGAACTCAGTCCTGGTATTTAATACTGTTTTGCAAACTCAGCCATTTTTTCTTAAACTTGAAACTTAATTAATATTTTTAATGAAGTTTGGGCTGAATATTTCTATATGATTGTGCCTGAGGGGCTTATGTGATTTTGGACTGAGTATGGGATCGGGCTGCACGCCGCAGCGGTATGATATTGATATTGATATGAGGCCGAGAGCCTAGTTGATGCCACGAGATGGCTTATTATTCCGCTTGGGCCGTAAGGGGCCCCTCCCGGAGTCTGCACATCCCCAGTGAGTGCCGTCGACGATAAATAAATGGAGCAGGCTGCACGCCGCAGCGGATACTAGAGAGTACCGTACTATTTGTTGCATGTCTTAATTGATTGTCGTTCATTTACTTATCTGTTGCAACATCATTGTTTTCATTGGTTTATTGAGTTGACATTATCTGGATTAAACTGCTGTAATTATAGCTTACATTGTGCCTATCCAGGATTTCTTACTCTCAACCCCTATTTATGTTTATTACTCTCTGGGTTGGAAGTACTCACATTACTACCTTGTGTGCAGATCTATGTGCACCCATTGAGGCAGAGTGAGGATTTCTCTGCCGAGCATCATATCTGGGAGCATCAAGGTAGCTGCATGACGTCTGCAATCCTGATCTTCCCATCTAACCTATTTGCTTTATTTCTGCATTTCTTTAGAGCAATATGTAGTAGGTTGACACCCGTGTATTAGAGGCTCAGACTTGTGACACCGGATTCTTCGGGTTGTGTAGTAGTATTTCTACTTGGGTTTTCCGCATGTTTTAATTATATTTCAGAGTTTCAGTATTATGACTTAGTAATTATTTGTGTTAATTGAATCATGAACTGTATAAAAAGGGTTAAGGTTGTTGAATTGGTCGGGCTTGCCTAGCAGTGTGTTGGGCGCCATCGCGATCGGGGTTGGGGTCGTGACATCTGGATATTCTCCTTTGGTTAAATATTCCTTGATGTCATGGAACCAAGGCTTTCCATCTGCTTCCTCCTCGACATGAGCACAGTAAGCTGGCTGATCATGAATCTTTACTGGAATAGGGTCTATGAAGTTCTTA